TAACATTCCTCTAATTTTTCTTTATCCTGTTTACTGCTTAGATAATGAACAATTAGCCCACAAGGTCGAGCGGTCTACGATTTGATATTTCCAGTTATACTCCAGCGAAAGTGAATGAAATATCAACTCGTAGTCCACTGAAACTCGTGGTTTAATTTTTTTTAGTTTCAGTCTTAGTATAAAGCAATTTTTTTGTCGGTATTCTTTTCACTAACTTCTCTTCACTCGATGCTACCATGGCCTATTATGAAAAGGAAATAGTTCAGAAGCCAATTAGAATGATAGATTTGCAATAGCCCATAGTTTGGTGGAAGCTTTTACCTGTTAGACAGTGTGTAGGGCTCGAGGCAGGGGGTGCGTTTCAATTGTCTGGGTAGGTTAACCAACCATAAAAGATACRTCTGCCAAGTAAAGGAAAACTGRCATTAGAAAGSTTTTGACAAAGAWACCTTGGAAAAATGACWTGTAGAAAGAACGTCTCTCACTTCTGAGAAGAACATTTCGCTCGCCTTAAAAGAGGAAGCTCAAAACTATTGTSTTTTCACGAATGACTGAACTTTAGGCACRGCGTCTTTCCTTTGTGTGTGATTACTGAGGCGAAATTCGCAAGTCTGCTTTTCTTAATGTACTTGCCATCTTTCCTTGACAAGCCGCGAATACACAAGTGTTAGCATATCTGGTATATTAAGTTTTCCCCCGATGAGGTAATCGTGAAACAACGAGATTCCAAGACAGATGTCCAAACCAGTACCCATTGCCGGCATTTAACAACTGCTCGCCGAGATCAGTAGAAAGTAGAAGAACTTATAGCAAGGTAAGAAGAAATCACATTTGAAAATTATTTTTTGTTCTTCTTTTGATAAAACAAGACATTGTTTGTTGTACTGATTTCTTGTCCCTGATAATAACAACTAATGTAAGATTCTGAGAATTATGTTAACTCTTAACTGTGTTTTTGTTAATTTTCGATGAATGTCTGTTCGTCATTGTACTTCAGTACGAATGAAAAAAAGCAGAACAAAGCAAAGCAAACATATGATCTTGTTTCATATAGTCAAGCACCCAGACGCAAGAACGTTGTCTTTAAAATATCTAATATTCGGAAAAGCAAAAAGAAATCTTTCAATTTTTCCGGTGTCAATTCCTACTCAAAAATGTTGTTTTTCTGCTAATTATTAGGTGTCTATAGATTATTGGCATGAGGTTCTCAAGTCTGGCCCAATCTGTGGCCTTATTTGTACTGCTAGTTTGCATCGCAACAGCCAAAAAACACAAAACGAAAACCAAAAAGGTAAAAGAGAAAGCACATGAAAAAATGATAAGAATTAATWAAAGTATCAATAGTTTCCATCGCCGGTCTTTTGATTTTACATCTTTCTCTTTGTCCTCACTCGTTTCCCTTCTTGAACTCTATTTKTTTATCTTGATTCTTGAGTTTTTKTCCATCTCCTTTCCCATTAATCCTGCTGCAATTTCCAATAAMCAGRCACTTGGAACWGATCTTTTTGAATCATCCCTATATAATTATATGTGAATCAGCAAARTRTGTAGTCCTGTTCTRTACTGTTATCAAGGGTTTTGGAGAACAGTGCGYCCGYCATCTTTAAAAGTGGTASTCGAATCACTAAGGTTCAAATCTAATGTAAAGTTAATATAATACKATATAATGATAGATTAGTTTACTTAGCAACTGCAAAATGTTATCTAAGGCACAACATAGTGATTTGGGTCTCACTTTTCAAGATGGCGGACTCACATTGTTCTCCTCCAACTATTGATCCATGTATTCTCCTTTTCTATAATCTTTTTTCTTTCTATTTCTGTACAAGCGTCCTTTCTGTTACTACCGCGGTGATAGTTTCAAATATTAATGTAGTTGCAACGAGACTCAATAACCCAATTTTCCTCTGCATTTCAGGGACAGGAGCACAAAAAGAGTAAAACCTTCTCACGTGGAAATTATATAAGTAAGTCTATATTTGGCTGTATGTGTGATCAAGTTTGTTATTTGTAACTTATCAAAGTTAGTTCAATTGCAAATTTACTTTCTATTGTTTTCTTATGGTCACTAGCATGTCTTTCGAGCTTTTTCTTTTTGATTGTAATATAAGAAAAAACTTAGTCTTTATTATTCCTTTATGCTCTATGAATGGAGATATTGTGARATTCAAMTTTAAAAGTGACGGACGAAAGCAGATTGTTAATTGGTGTTTGAAGTCATCTTATTTTCCATATATGAAAGATTCAAAATACGACCGCATTGAATGCCTGTTGACCATGGATCTTTAAGAATGTCGTTGAACAGCTATCTCGGTTCACTCTGAGCGCTTTTTATTGATGTTTGAATATGTCTAAATGTATTAATTGGTTTTATGCCGAGCCAACACTCCCCCCTCTACCATAGATTCTGATTTGGTCTGAAAATTTTAAGCTATTGGCCATGAAGTGATTCCCTTTCGCTGTAATTTTAGCTTCTTTGGCAAATAAGAACGCAATTCCTTTGCATGAAAAACGAAAAAGCTGACAACAATGACAGTAATACTCCAGTTTCGAATTCATAGCGAAAAACCGCTGCTTTATTTGACAACAGTTCTCTTGCGCAAAGACCTTAGAAACACAAAAGAGAGCACGAGAAAATGTCATTATTACAACAGACTTGAAAATTTGCATTTTCCACGAGCTGAGACTAACCCTGTATTCCCATAAGACCTAAGGTATGAGCCTTCTGGGAATTCAGGGTTAGCCTCAATTCGGGGAAAATGTAAATTGTTAGCGCTATTGTACAAGCAACATTTTCTCTTGTTTCTTTTGTGTTTGGTAAGTTCTTTTCATAAGAGAATCTGCTGTCAAATAAAACAGCGGTTATTCGCTTTGAATTCGAAACTGGAGAATTAACAACAGCAAAATGACCAACATCATAAAAAAATGTAGTTCTCCTACTGCGATGATATCCACATGTACTGACATGCACTGTACACTTATGATTTTAACCCTGCAAAGGCAATCAGACGTTTTCTGATTCTAACTAATTCTAACTCACGTTATATTTCCAAATTGATTATGATTAAGAAGATGATGGTGGCTCAGAAGAGGGTGCAGAGTTATCTCCAAGTGAAAGAGCGGAGAAGCTGAAGATTCTCACTATGGAAGGAAAACCAGGCTGGCTTGTGGTGGTGAAGGAAATGGTAAATCATATCACTTTGTCATACTTTCAGGAACCCGTTTACCGCTATACACCGGATACATTTATATTAATATTTATTATTTAATTCGTATCCATTGGATGTGAGTTTATTCAGCATTCATGAAATCGGAYGTAGAAACGAGGAATGCCAACAAAAGCAAAATTTGARCAACCATGAAAACGTTCATGGCTGATATTAATCGCTTTTGCCGTGTTAATATGATGGACTGATGATTTATCATTCCAGGGGGAAGAAACAAMAAAGAAAATTGAAAAGGAAATGGAAGAAAATAAAGTCGGGAAATCACGTGATTTAGCAAAGAATATTCACTCTGACTCAAGTATGTGTACAYTCAAAAATAGTACGTTRAAATMATTTTTTCTCGGAGAGAWTATATGGGACYTAACAGGCCCTTGTGCAGAGGTAGGTYCGAGGAAATTTCGAAGCCACCTTTCCTGTCAGGAAAAGTATTTTACTTTCAAAAACTCRTACATAATTWAYGAGTTATTARGCCAATAGAATGAGCHTATTTGGTCACATGSATGGACATTTMTATCTGATAAARCACTCMTTACTAGTATWYTTTATATAAAGAATACTAATAAGGGTGATCTTGATCAGATATAAAGGTCCATGACCCTAGCAAAGGTCTCAGGTTTGAAACCTGATCAT